CCTTCCATGCACTCCACCGCTCGAAGTCGCCAGCCCATGGCGGCCGCCGCCAGCCGAGACGACTCCGACCACGACAGCAGCTGCTCTTCCTTCAGCACCGCCCTCGACTCCCGCCGGAGTTGGATCAGCGACGTCAGCTTCGGCAGCTCCAGCTCCGTCTCCGTCCGCTCCTACTGCGGCGCCAACGGAGGCGACGGCGCCGGGCACCACCAGCAGCAACTGCTAAAGCCCCACAAGGCCAACCAGGCCGAGTGGGAAGCCATCCGGCGCCTCCGCGCCGCTTCTGGCCACGTCCGCCTCGACCACTTCCGCATCGTGCGCCGCCTCGGGAGCGGCGACCTCGGCAACGTTTATCTCTGCCAGCTCCGCGACCCTCGCTCCCCGGGCTGCCTCTACGCCATGAAGGTTGTCGACCGTGAGGCGCTCGCCTTCCGCAAGAAGCTGCAGCGCGCGGAGACTGAGAAGGAGATCCTCCGCTCGCTCGACCACCCCTTTCTCCCCACTCTCTACGCCGACTTCGACGCCGCCCACTACTCTTGCCTTGTCATGGAGTTCTGCCCCGGCGGCGACCTGCACGTGGCCCGCCAGCGCCAACCCGGGCGCCGCTTCAGCATCTCCTCTGCCAAGTAAGATCAAGCACCTCTCTTCCTCTCCCAAGAGTTTCGTGGTGACCACGAGGAGTTTGACCGACGAACTGCGTGCATGCATGGCTCCTGTGCAGGTTTTATGCTGCGGAGACGCTCTTAGCGCTGGAGTACCTCCACATGATGGGGGTGGTGTACAGGGACCTGAAGCCGGAGAATGTGCTCGTGAGGGACGACGGCCACATCATGCTCTCCGACTTCGACCTCTCCCTCAAGTGCGACGTCGTCCCCAAGCTCATGATGCAGAGGCTCAGCAGCAAGCTCGCAGCCAAGAACGCCAAAGGCTCCAGCTCCTCCTGCGTGCCGCCCATGCAGCCTGTGCTCTCCTGCTTCTACGGCGGCGGCGGCAGCAACGCCAACAAATGCGACAAGAGGGCGAAAACCGAGGACGACGACTCCGACGACGACTCGGACGATCAGGAGCTCGACCCAGAGCTCGTCGCAGAGCCCATCGCCGCGCGGTCGAAGTCGTTCGTGGGCACACACGAGTACCTCGCCCCGGAGGTAATCTCTGGCGCCGGCCACGGCAGCGCCGTCGACTGGTGGGCCCTCGGGGTGTTCATCTACGAGATGATCTACGGGAGGACGCCGTTCAAAGGCGAGGACAACGAGAAGACCCTCATCAACATCATCAAGCAGCCGCTTGGCTTCCCCAAGGCGGCGGCAGCAGCAGGCAAGGAGTTGGAAGAGCTGTCGAGAGCTCAAGACCTGATATGCAAGCTCCTGGTGAAGAACCCCAAGAAGAGGATCGGGAGCATGAAGGGCTCTGCCGAGATCAAGAAGCATGAGTTCTTCAAGGGCGTCAACTGGGCTCTTATTAGGTCAGTGAGGCCACCTGAGGTCCCCAGAGACCCTCGGAGAGGAAGGAGCAGAACCCCAGCGGTAGCTCAAAAGCTAAGCAAGAAGGCCAGGGATGAGCCATACCACATCCCTCACCACATCGATTACTTTTGAGTGCTAGCTTTTAGTGTACATACTAGAAGGAACCAATAAGCTGTGGACTAAGCTAGAAGAAAGACTCCCTTTCGTGGCCATGACTTGGGTTGGATATCATTTCGGTCTCACCTTTTCCCTCTCCGTGAACTCGTAGTCTTTTCCTTGCCATCGTTCTGGTCTCGCTTTTGGTGTCTGTAAGCATTTAATCTTTTCTGTTTGACTATGAGAAAGGAGTGACAAATCTTATTGTATGAAAAGTGTTGTTCCGAAAGGAAACAAAAATCTCGCCTGCATGTCTCACACGAAATCTCACAGGGAAAGTATTGATTTGGAGATCTTGAGAAGATCAAATAAGATGGTGATGCTGTCAACCATATGTTGCAGGCAGGCATGCACGCACCATCTAATAACACTGACAAGTATTTGATAGTTTGAGTTCATCAACAGACCATAAACAAGACGGGCAGGTAGATCTTATCTTGCTGCCGTGTCTGCCTGTCGATCGCCAAAGTTTGAGGCTCGAGAAAGCTTTGTATATACCCACCTTTTGCTAATTGGAGACCTTTCTAAAGCCAAGAAGCTTACGATATTATCGACAGTCACAAGAGCAATGTGTGACTTTGCAGTAGGAAAGACAACAATGATGCGGTGACAGGAAAGGCATCATAGCAGGTGTGGTCTCAGAGGTGTATGATGAACTGATGCGGTGCAACAGAAGAGTCAATATGTGCAATGATAGCTGAGCAAGAAGACACACAACACATGAACACACACAGAGAGAGAGAGAGAGAGAGAGAGAGAGAGGGTGTGACTGCTACTGCTAGTTCTCGATGACTCGCAGAGGCATGCGCGCATCGTGTCCCATTTCCGGAGCTCGTATCACAAAGCGCTCATCCGCGTCCAGTGCTTGCAGCGTATATAATAGGATATGAGCGGGGGGCGTACACACCATGATGGAGATCTCAGCATGATTTGCTCCAATCCAAGTCTCCACCATGGCCACCGCACAGCAAAGCCAAGAGGAAGAGACATGGCCTTAATGCTCTTCATGGCTGCACCCACACTCGAACAAGTCAGTAATCTCCTCACCTCTACCTTTTGGATTCGAATCCAATTCACGTTTTACATATCTATATGAAAGCATAAAATAGTGGCTGAAGTAAATTTAGTGCACGGCACCTTTGACTTTTCAGATGCCTTAGGTCTCAGAGGTCAACCCAATCCTAATGGACACCCAATAACATGCATAAAATTAATCTCACTTTCCAAGATGAATTCTGTGTTATATGTACTCGCGAGTCGGAACACTTGCAAACCCTTTCTCCACCTAAATTTTTTGTTCACAGAGGCACGCAAATGGCAGACAGATTTGACCTCTTCTGATGGGAATCTCTTTGTCTTGCAACACATTAATTGTATATAAATAGGTCACGGGAATTCAAAACTCATGATTTGAATATTATAATCGACTATATAAATATTCACTTGGTTTTGAATTCGAGTAAGATTAAAATAAGAAATATGTGAGTCCTTCTGGACTGCTTCTTATATTTATTTATTTATTTTTCTTGATCTGATTTAAGATGAATTTAGGTAACAAAAAAAGATAGTTTGATGTTATTATTTATAGGCATATTAGAGACAGTCGATAGATAAATCAATCAAGAGCTTTATGGTGCTAATCTGTCATTGGGGTGCTTGAGTTCATCCTTTTATCAATTACAGTGATTGTAATGATCATTATATTTGGAATCTTCCTTTTCTTTGCAGTAATAATGAGGGTTTTTGAGTTCCATTTGGCAAAGAATAATGTCACATCATTGTAGCAAATGGCACAATTCGAAACCAACATCAGATGACTACCTCCCATTATTACATCAATGTATGGTAGCACTAAATATTTTAGTCAGTAATAAAGAGACTAAACTTTTGAGATGAGAAACTCATGCTGTCACCACATATTTGATGGATACAAATGTATCCTTGTCATTATAATTATTTTTTATAAGTTATTTTTTGAATCTGATTTGTTTAATTTTTCTTCTTTTTTTTTGTGTGTGTGATTGAGCAAAATTTTGGGTCATCACTGCATGCATTCCTACAAGAGAAATCATGCAAAGGATCAGAGAAGAACACTAAGAATCCTTGGTAATGATGGACCTCTCTTGCCCTAGATATGCAATTGAAAACCTCATATTAACTCTCTCTCTCTCTCTTCCCCATCCCTGATACATTCCAATCATGGGTTTCCCACTCTATGTGGGTGGAGAATAAATGATGAAGTGCAAGAGACAGTGTGTGGCTTCATGATGCTACAAGAAGCTATACAGACTTGGATGATTACTTTGAGGCGGGCGGGGAGGTGCATGGCATATGCATGAGAAAGAGCTATTCTCCCTCTCATCATTGCATGAGTTTAAGTCCATATGATGATGTGGTTATATGAATGCCAACAACACATGATAGTTACCTATTGAGTGGTCATTAGAACCATAGTTTTCCAACTACATGCAATGAATTGCTCCATTGTTTTTGGAGCTTCACTAGCCAAATAATTAGTGGGTTCATCTCTAACTTAGACTTTCTTTTCCATTATTAATCATCCGATCTTTACTGCTCATCAAACAATTATATATATCATTTTGTCCTTTTTTGGTGGAATTAGACAATGATCGACACTTGATAACTATGTATATACGTATGGGGTTGTATATTATTTATTGGATGTATTATAACGAATATTGAGCTGATAAGCTATGATTATGGGCCGGCCCGTGGATTATGGGCCAAAGCCTTTAGTGGGCTGAACCCTCGGCTCGTTCTCTCACTTCGTCTATCTGAACTCCAATGCTATGATTTTGTTTGGCATGAAGAACTCACTGTTAGATCTTCTTTTCACATAGGTATTGAAGCATCTAATTAGACTTTCCTTCAGCTTCTGTGACCATATAAATAATGCACAATTCACATTTGGGAGGCCATTAACATGCAATTACCAAACCTCAATGAGAAAGCTAAGCTTCCACTCGATGCGATGCCTGCCTTTGGAGAGCTTGTGGTCATGCATCTACATTCATTGTCAAACAAGTTATTTAGTGGATGATTTCATTCTGTTTGATGTCATGTCACAGTAGATTTGCACCACATTAGTCATATGAAAAAGATGGAATCTGCCTTACTGGCCTTCAGCACAAAGACCAGCACTGGATTCACAAGCCACTAGATCTGCTACCAATCGAACGGTCAGAAAGTTTCCACGCTGGCCTCCTCTGCACCTTTGGATTCCCCCTCGGTTTATGGCTGGTGCATCGTCCACGCTCATGCGCTTGGAACCGTTCGATGTGTCTCCATCGGACGGCCGGATGCGGGCCCCTAAAACCCGAAACCTTCCTATGATATTGTCGTCTCATTCTCCTTCCCCGCTCTTTCCCAAAAGATCGGGTAGAGAACTCGAAGCAAATCTCTTCTTCCTTTTCCTTCTTGCTTCTTCTTCCGCTCCATCAATCTCTTCTCTTTGGGTAGGAGAGGGGAAGGATGATGCAGGAGCAGGCGACCAGCTCTCTTCCTTCGAGCAGCGAGAGGTCCTCGAGTTCTGCCCCCCAGATGGAAGCTAAAGAAGGCAAGTACGTTCTTTTGCGCGCCATGTTCCAGTAGGACATGTTTGATTTTCATGGATTTTACTCTAAATAATGAGTTTTTTAAAGTGAATTCATGACTTCTCCGTCCAAAATGAGATTTTTTTTTTGTAGTTTGATTTGACCAATGTGCCTGTTTTGTCCTGTTTTGCTTCGTCAAGGTTGCCTTTTTTGTAGGAAAAGGAGGGGGATTTGTTGTTTTGCTGTTCGAGATTGTGATGTTTTTGGATTCTTGATCCCTTTGTTCGATCGAGTTGGTGAAACTGGTGATCTGGATCTGATTCAGGAATGGAGAGCGACGAGGAGATCAGGAGAGTTCCGGAATTCGGGTTCGAGCTGGCCGGCCCGTCGACCTCAGGTCAGGAGGCTGGCTCAGGAACCGGTGCGGACCGGGCCCAGTCAGCCGCCCAGGCGGGGCAGCGGCGCCGAGGAAAGAGCCCCGCCGACAAGGAGCACAAACGGTTAAAGAGGTTTGGAGGATGTTCAGTCCACTTCTGCCCCTTCTCGGGATGTTGTGAGAATGATCTGCTCGTATAGTGACTCATTTTGTTCCTTTTGCTGTGTGATGTGTGTTGTGCGACAAAAGGCTGCTGAGGAATAGAGTGTCAGCCCAGCAAGCCCGGGAGAGGAAGAAGGCTTATCTGAATGATTTGGAGGCCAAGCTAAAGGATTTGGAAACCAAGAACTCAGAACTGGAGGAGAGGATCTCCACATTGCAGAAAGAGAACAACATGCTGAGACAAGTTGGTCTTCTTGACTCTAATAACATTCCTTGTCACACTCACTGTTCTTGTTGACATGTTTTCTATTTCCCAGAGTAGAAATTCATATTTATTTCTTTCTAAGATGAGGACTAATTTCAGATTTATTGCAAGATAAATGTATGTCGGAGTCATACATTTAGCTGGCGAAACTTGTCTGTTAGCACTTATCAAATCTAGAGATTTATACTTCTCTTACGCTCGTAGTTTGTGATTACCATGAGATCTTGTTCTAGAGTACCCAAGAATAGAAAACTTTTGTTAAGAATCAAGCAAGCTGGGCTAAAATTGCATCAATTTTCCTACTATATATATATAACGTAATTTTGTATAGTTTATTCTCAGTTCTTGTAGAGTTCATTCTGTGAACCATATGATGTTCTATACAGTAATGCAATTCTTGTACATGTTTTTGCTTGCTACAGTCCACACAGCGAAGTTCTATTTACTTGTACTTAAGTGCAAAGCTTGTGTGCATTGGAACAAGATGTATGTTTCATTCTTTGTAGGAACAAAAGTATATGCATTGATCGATAAAGTTAGTATTTATGAAGGATTTAATGATCTGTAGCTATGAAAAGCAGACGAGTTGTTGTTTACATGTTTTGCTTTGTGAAGCCTCATTCTTGACTTCAGTCACAGAACCACTAAGCTGTTGCGGAAACACCGGAGTCCTTGCCATTGGGACTTAATTTTGTGCTTCTCTTGCACTTAGGGGGCATTTTGGTTGTCGGCAGGTGATCTACTTGCAAGTTCTTTTTGTAGCAAGTAGCCCACTTGTAGCTATTTGAATGCATGCAAGTAAGCAACTTGCATCAACTGAACATGCAACTGGACCTTCACCATGTTGCAAGTGGACTTGCAGTTTGCATTACCATATGTCTCATTTGCAGAATAGGTTTGAGTCAATCTTGGATTTGGATCTCCACTTAATCCTCCCAACTTTGTTACAACTGCAAGTTGCAATCATGCACATAAGCATTCAAATAATTGCACCTGCAGCTATTATGCTTTTGTCTACAATTAACACTTGCAGGAATGCCTCCTTAGCTATGATGCTTTTTGCTTGAGTACACTGAATGGAATGGAAGCCTCTCTCACAACCCATGTCTCTCTTGCAGATCTTGAAGAACACTACTGTTAGCAGGAGAGAATCAAGCAGTAGCGCCAATGGAGGTGGGGAATGATCCAAGCTTGCTTGATATTGGTGTCGTCCATCATGTCTCCAGTATTGAGATCACACATTACTAAGTCTAATTGGTGGAAGGGTTCTCAAGGGACTAAGAAAAGAAAAAGGCATGCATTTATGATCGACTATGCTGTGGAGTTTGTATCAAGTAGCAACTTTTGCGATAATCTCTGTATCGGGATGTGTTTTTTTCCTTTCAAGTGAGCACAGTGAAGTCGATGATGCCTCCTCTTAGGAATTATTAGGAGAGTGAATTATGAGGTATCTTTTTTTTCAATAAAGAGTTTAAATCAAGACACTTTACCTACTGAAATCTTTCTTAGTCTATCTGGTTGATTTAAACTCTAATCAATGTAATATGAACCATCTGATGGTAATACAAAACATAAAACCTCATTAGCCACGGTAAGATCTTCTTGCCAACAATTGACCCAACATAAAGCCTCATGCCTGTCTTGCCAATAATTGACCCATAATTTCAATCACTTCCTTAAGAATATAATTTGAGTCAGTCGGCCTTAATTGTCCAAATATCAATTCGTGACACACTCAACTGATGACCATATATAATAATCGGATAAGCATTTCAATGATATAAAAATTTTACTAAATGATGATAATTAAATAAATACTTATAAATAAAAATTAATAGAAAAAAAGATAAATCAATTTCCAGTGATTTGATTTTTTTATCTATGTCTTCTCCTAATTTCACTTCTCAATGCCACTTAGAAGAGAACATTCACACGTAAAGCCTCTTACCTTGTGTTATGACAACTAAATTTAAAAAGAAGGAAAAGACTATTACTGATTTAAAAAACTTAAGAATAGATGTTCCATCAACCTAGCCTAAGTGAAATATTTATAGTGACAAAAGGTTTAAAAAATAAAAATAAAATTTTAAATTGTCAAAATTTTAAGGTATGAACAATATTTATAGTGACAAAAGGTTTAAAAAATAAAAATAAAATTTTAAATTATCAAAATTTTAAGGTATGAACAATATTTATAGTGACAAAAGGTTTAAAAAATAAAAATAAAATTTTAAATTATCAAAATTTTAAGGTATGAACACTACTATTACCGATTTGGCACAATAATACCGCAATAATATTTACAATGAAATCATAATTCTAAACTCTAATAATTCTACCATTGTATTATTAGACTACGGATTGTTCACCCACAATACCTCTCTGCCTACAGATCGTTCATCAAATTGTTTGTTTATACATATGTTTGACGATGTATTTTGCGAAAATTATGAGCAGAAATAATATGTCGGGTTGTTGAGCAGCTCACTAAAATTGACAAAACTATCTCATAATAATCTAATTTTCTCATGATATGACATATTGTTTTATAGGTTATGGTATGATGTGAAACATCAACCATATCATTACCTAGAATCACCTAGAGAGCATAGAGCTATATGGGGATTTGGGTTAGTGTTAGGTATTGATTGCTAGTCATAGATGTCTTATAAATCAATCACGTGAGTCATGACATATGTGACACGTTGTATAGTATTTTTTTACTTATTATTATGTATTGATATTTTCTTACTTTATATTGTATGTTGCATCTATATTGTGATGTCGATGAATCTGTGTAATGAGAATTAGATCGTGATAAGATTATGATAATAAGACCGATTCATCTTTAAACACATACCCTAAATAATCCCAGTTATAGGTTACTCGAGAGGGACATTGTGATAATCGGACAGATTTGTGTGTTGTATACTCGTTCATACGATGGATGTAGCTGGTCTTATAGATACTCATGTGAGAATACTATAAATACAATGCAAGTGCTCATTGAAGAATGAGTTCACTAATTGATCCGCTCACAGAATATTGGATGGTTGATGATGTCTTATTGTTAGACAACGATTCTGTCGTCCTAGTAGTGTATTTGGTCCTTAGACTTGCAACACTAAGGATGTTCTATATAAGTACTCTACTCTTTATACTAAACTTATAGGTTTGAAAGTTTCAAATATAACATAATCAGTCATCAGGAGTAACAACCAACCTTACGAGGGCAATTGAGTATAGATAGAGGATCATCCACTCTCGGTGTCATGAGAGAAATATTCTATGTGTTCTTATTTAGGCAAATCCCTAGCCAGGGTCATTCAGATGGAGAGAGAAAGAGTTCTTCGGAAGAATCCGATTAGAGTGAGATTCGAGGAGAAACTGTATGGGCCTGATAGTATTATGCTCGGTATACGGTCTTTGAGATATTAGATGGATGAGGGACTATAGATATATGATAACTTAGGATAGATAGGTCAAATGGATTGTATTCTCTTGTATCGTCTGGAGACTGCGACATAATAGCTTAGTACGTCTGTAATCGATAATTCGAGTGAATTATTATAAGAGTTGATAATTCACTGAGTCAAAAAGAGTTCTAATATATATGACTCACAGCCCACTCGATATTGCGCCTAGAGGGTCACACACATATGGTAGATATTACGATGAGTAGAGACTCGGATATGAGATATCCGTTGGAGCCCCTACTTTATTGGATATCTAGTAAGCCCTTGAATTATTGGATATTATGGATAACATCCAATAAGAGCCAATGAGAGATTATTGAGTAAAATTCCATTAATCCAGTATGCTTGGGTAGTTGGATGGAAATCTAGTACCAAATATGGTAGGATCCATTAGGGTTAAGTTGATAGGGACCTATATAAATATAAGGAAACCAAAGGGGCATAAGCTAGTCCCTCATTTGGCTGCCACCTTCTATTCTCCTCTCTCCCTCTCCTCCTCAACCGATAGCCCCAGTTTGGGGTGTGTAAATAGCAAGAAGAGTCGACCCCTTCTTGATCACATGATACGTGTGGAGAGGTAGATCGGGTAACAATTTGAGGAACATCTTCATCGCATCTACCAAGTGGATTACCGCTAAAGAGGTGGACAGTTGACCTCTTTCATCCACTTCTATAGATCTTGGATTTTACAGGGATATACGATCTCCCTATGTAACAAATCTATCATGATACGTGTAGTTTTCATTTTGCATATCAATTTTCGCACGATGATGAATCCTTTTTTTTATGAAAAATATAAACATTTTATTTTTTTTTATTCTACTACCATATGATACTCTATCTAGGTTTCCCAATAGTAGTATCAGAGCTAGGTTGATTTGTGTGATGATTGGTTTTTAAACTACGTGTATCGATAAATCGTGTATAATTATTTTTACACGATTTCTGTGATTTTTTGTCATAGTTTTAAAATCCGAAACTATACCTCTTTTCTCTATTAAAAAGTGTTTTAGAGAGACCTTTTGATATCAAAATTATTGACCCAAAAGAGGGAGAAAGGGTAAAAACTATTGCTGCCCTATAGGTTGGCCAATGGTTGCTTGCAGCCTTGGTCGAGAGCTCTAGAAGAGGCTCTCAGCCTCACCACCTATAGCAGATCGAGAACAACCATGCTACTATCAGCCTAGTAGGGTAGGACCCTTAAAACTAGGGATTCTTAGTAGCTATGGTTTCCTAGCTGCTTAGGTGTCTCTACGGTTTGAGATTCCTGGCCACATGGGCAAGCTGGTGACCAGGGTTTCTTGGCTACCCATGCATGCCCTGTAGCTAGGGATTTCTATCTGCAAATAGGTACTTGGTGGCTAAGGTTTCCTAACCACACAAAGTAGCCCTGTCACTAAGGATTCTTGGTCGCAAGGGAGTCCCTAATGACTAGGGTTTTCCATACATAGAGAGCTTCCTACCATGTGGGGCACTCTATAGTAGGGTTCCCAAAATACTACATATAATTAATTAAATAATTTAATTAATTATTATTATCTAGTAGTCTTACATGATAATGTGTATATGTGATGTATGATGTGGATGGATAAGAATGGATCATATGATGTATGCCTATGTGATATGATTATTATTATTATTATTGGGCTCTATAAGTCTCCATTTTTCTCGTTTATTATTAGGCATGCGTACCTGTGATTATATTGTAATTACATGAGAAGGTACAGTGGAAGCATGGAGATGACAATGGGACCCACGAGATCAAGACGGATGATCACGATGCATTGAGATATACTGAGATGCCGACGGAATTGATGAAGACAAGATGGATAATCACAAGGCATGAAGATACTACCGATATACACATAGATCGTGATATGAGTGATTGAGCCCACTAACTCGGGTCTGATCACATTAGGCTATGGTCCATGATTATCTAGTATGATTGCTCATGTGATGTGTGATTTCTTATACACCTACTATATATGTATATATATTTGCATACGATGTATATATATTAAATATGTATGTATGTGACATATAAGATTAGGAGACTGAATAAAAATCCTCTCTCGCGGTAATATTAAGTCGGTAAGCGTGAGACAATTAGATTGACCCATGAAGTTTTCTATCGTTATAGGAAGAAATTGATTCTCAACGTAGATTGAGTTGGTCGAGTCCCTCAAGGCTTACCTATAGTATAATTTGAGATATTGCTTATGATGTAGAAATGTCACCGGTGACCTGAGGATATTGTATACTTAGTCGAGTCCCTCGAGGGCATATTATCGAATTAGACTCATCTTGTAATGATGATGATGATTTAACTTAACATTATGGTTAGTCGAGTCCTTCGAGACTATGATGGTTTGAAGGCCAAACATTACGGAAATCATAAGAAGTTGTGATTGGCAAGAGTTGTCTACCTTTTCAGGCTTAATGTGATTTGTCGAGTCCCTCGATGTTACACTAAGACGTCGATTAGATCCCGATCCCTACTAGAGATCCGTCGAGGGTCTTCAATTCACATATCGAATGAGGGAGTTATGTGTTTCGCAAGAAAATAGTAGTAGATTAAGATAGAAGTTCATATCTTGATTGTCTATTTTTTTATAAAATCTATATGTTATTTATTATATTATATCTTTATTTTTAGAAAATATTGTTTGTAAATCCCTTATATAATATACTTCTTGCAACGATCATTCTCACGTAGGAGACAATTACAAGTTAATGAAGTCAATACCATCGTACTTGTTCAAATCAACAAGGCTCTCTACAATTATAGCAATCATTAATTATAATAAAGTTGACAAAAAACAATAACTCGATTGACATGTCTACTAGGGCAAGAAAGTACTCGACCAGTCCAATACAATCTAAGTGAATCATTTATACATAATCCATCCTTTAAAGTTATATAAGCATTCAAGGCAAGAAAAAGCTTTCCTTTTGCAAGTGTAAGCCTAGAATATAAGAGCATACAATCATCAATGCAATCAAAGCGTCCTCCTTATACATGATACATAAATCCAAGGTAAGAAAAGTATCTAGATATAATTAAAGTATTATACATATATATATATATATATATATATATATATATATATATATATATATATATATATATATATATATATAATGCATCCACCCAAGACCTTAAAATAATATTTAATATGTCATAAATGATTAAAAATTTTACTTTATACATGATACATCTCTTTAAAATAAAAAAAACATATGAAGCATGTAAACGAAGGATATTTTCTATTCTTGGATTGAAACGAGATACACGATAAAGGATATGAATATTTTTTTTACCCTCGAGAAATTTTTTTCTTAATTATTAAATTTCTTTTTTCCCCTTTTGGACTTAATAATACTTAAAAAATAAATCACATCTAATCAATCTTATCATATTAAATTGATGATCAATATTGATATTACCAAATGATAATTATCTGAATATAATGTATCAGATAATTATCCTTCATTCTCTTCGTGCGAGCATTGATGATTGTGATCTATTTTTAACTTGTATTTTTTTATTTTTTGAACCATTTCTCAGAACGATCCAATTGAGAAATAGAGAACCAAATACTAAAAGCTCATTCGAAGTTTCCTATAATATTTATTTTCTTATCGGTAACTAATTTATATCTAATTAATAGACACCTTAATCTGAATTAGTCAAATCGGGTAGGTAGTTTGGATTCAATTACTTACTCGCGCGGGTACCAAAAGCTGCGTCGGATTCACATCAAGCATTGCAAGGATCCATCCAATCATCAATTTGTACGTATCCGGTTCCTTGAGAATCAGACGGTTGTAAATTGCACCTGTACTAATGGACGGTTGTGTCGTGCGAATTGTATAGTTCCAATTTCACACGAGTGTTGTAGAGGATCTAGATTCCCGAAGCGACACGCATGAACTCGCCGACTCCTGATGTGCTTCGGACCAACTTTGGTCTGGATGCAACCCAATTGCCGGGCCGAGAGCACTATATATACACATTGCCGCGCGCATTGTTTCGTATCGTCTCGGGTGTTGGATTAGGGCTTCCTCGGTTGGCAAGTCGCAAGCGAAACCCGCGACGATGGAGCAGATCACCGAGGGCGTCAACAATCTCAGCGTCGCTGCCGATTCCTTCAAGGAGAACCGGATCCTAGTCTCCAATACGAAGAAGCCCCTCTTCTTCTACGTCAATCTCGCCAAGGTGCCCGACGCCCCCCCTGTTCGTTGATCGATTTCGCACCCTCACCCTAATCTTTTCACTTAATGAACAAGAAGTTTCCCGCTTTACTAGCGCTACGTTCCCTCCGTGCTCTGTTTTTTTTGGGGTTTAGGGTTCTTGGTATTTTAGGTTTCGTGTGCTTATAGTTTGTGCATCTGTCATCCGTACTGTTTCTTGATTATGATGTTATACTTTTGGTTGCAGAGGTACATGCAGCAATACGATGAAGCAGAGCTTTCGGCTCTTGGAATGGGTACCGTTTCTTTGCCCTCTGGTTATATCACTCTTATGTGATGCTGTCTATAACTTTGTTTATTTATTTGGCCTCATCTCTTGGTAAATTCTTTTTATCCTGTAGTTATCTTTTAGTAGATGGGCTTATTTATGTCTAACTGGTGAAATGTAATGATGAAACATTCATGAAAATAAAAATAAAAATAGCTAAAGTACGCTGTAATTTGTAGTTTTTTGTGTGTTGATATCAAGTTCTTTTAAGAGATTATGGAGCATCATTTATTTGGTTATTGGTTCCCATTGTATAAAATTTGAGTATTGCTTATGAAAGACTTTGAAATGTGATCACTTGTTGATTTCAGATTACATGTGTCTTCGTTCAGTAGCTTCAGTTCCTTTCTTTTTTCCTTTTCTTGAGGCTGTGGCTTCATGCTAAGTCTCTGTGCAAGTTTACACATTGAGTTCCTCCATTTATGCTTCATTGGTATTTTTGTACGCTTTTTTGTAATTTTCAACAATAATGGGTATCTTTGTTTAAAACCTGGCTATGAGAATCAGCTGGTCAATGTGTATTCTTCGATGGAGAGAACTTGCAGCTTGTAGTTTTAACCCAAAAAAAATTAGCAGAGTTATTGTCATGTAAAACTTAATGTTCTTGTTTTAAAATTATCGTTCTTTTGTTTACTACATTAAAATGTTAGATTTATTCATCAATCTTATTATTGTAAATTTTCTTCCTCGTGGTCAATCTTCTATACTATTATAGCACTGTTATGTTTTCTTGCATATCTCAGTATGAGGAGAGGGATGTTGGTTTTGGTTTCTTATAGATTTAGATTTCTAAAAATTTTCTGTTCTGTTTAGACAGTAACTATATTTCTGACTTTTGTTTGAGGAAGTAATTTCATGGAATATAATGAGGAGATTGACTTACTTTGAAATCACGAAAAGTCTCCAAAAATCTAGGAGGATTTCAAACATTGATTTAATGTTTGAATGTGAAGTTAACTTATTCAGATTTAATGTTTGAATGTGAAGTTAACTTATTCAGATTTTATGTTGAGTAAATACATAGAACTTTTGAGTATTCTCTGAGGCTGAGAGTTTTGCACAGTATCAGGCAGCATAAACTTTTGACTATTCTTATATATTATGATCTTGTGCAGATTATTCAGTGTTCTTTGAATTTTTGTCTACGATTATTGTGGTATATATCATGCTTTTACGACTAACTCTTTTGTTTTTTGTTTTACATTGACATGTTCCATAAATGAGGCTCTACTTGCATGTACATGCTTGTAAGAATATATTGTCAAATGCATATGCTATGTCTCATAAAAATTGCCATGCACAGAGGTTGTGATGATGGACTAGATTTTGTAGTAGCTATATTACATTAAGGAAATCTAGAATGTGGTATCCACTTTTGTGAGCAATCTCAAATAAGAGGACTCTTACAAACAGGAAACTAGTATAATAACTTGGACACAGTATATATCAACTATGTGGTCTTAACTATCTATTCAGGCCCAAAGCATTAGGCGTTTGCTGTTCTAGTCATAAAACAATCAATTTCATCTTTGTATCCCCATGTTTACATTCTATCATCAGGAACTTATGGAATATTCATGACATTAGCTTTCGTGTCAGGCCCCAGGTTGAGGAAAATAAGACCAAGAACTGTTATAGGAGCTTAAAAGCCTCTTCATTTTGCTTCAGTCATGCTTTTGTTTGAACCATTTCTATATGCTTGACTGTTGTATTGAACTATTCTGTTTCACACTAAATGCAGCATTACAATTATGGAATATGCTGTTTTAGTACTTCTTTTAGCAGAGTTGCCCCCACTGAGCTTTGCGCTTGTGCCTGAAAATCTTCTAGTCCTAGACATGTGCAGAGCTTTCTAATTCCATAGTGATTAACTTTTAGCAATTTTCATATTCCAAGGATGGCTTAATAACGATTACTTTGACTTAACAGCCATCGGAACTGTGGTCACCATTGCGGAGATTCTTAAAAACAATGGCTTTGCGGTTGAGAAGAGTAAGATTTTATATTGTTATCTGACCTGTTAGATTATGTATTTGAAGTCTACCACACACATTATCTAACTATTATTTTTGTTAAAAAAACCTTCAGAGATCATGACATCGATGGTTGATGTGGAGGATGAGACCAGGGGACGGCTGTTGCAGAAAGCAAGGGTAAAGACTTGATTAGATTAAAATGATATACAGTAGTGTTTGACCTGAGCCTCTTCTCTTCTGCAGATTGAGATATTGCTGGGAAAGACGGAAAACTTTGATGAATTAATGGCTGCAGCCACACAGAGACGTGATGGAGATGGTGAGCAGCATTAAAATGAAGTCTTGCTTTGTTTTCGGATTGGCAGACGGTGTTTGGTGATTTCATGGGCTATTCCCATGAATCAAAGAGCAGCATTATTTGTTCTCCAACTCTCCGTGTATGATTCTAGGTTGTAGTGTTTTTTTGTTGGAATGGAATATGTGAACCAAAACTGAACTTAAAGGTCCATTTTCATTGCAAACGATGGTTTCTCTCATCCACTATATGGCAACACATTGTTCTGACCTGTGATAGCATCTTGAAACAGAGATATCCGACCTGTGAAAATATCTTTGCTTATAAAAGGAATATAACCATTTCAATTGGTGCATAATCGTAACTGAAAAGCTCATAAAGTTTACATCTTAATTATCATATTTTAAGTATTCCATAATAGGTTTACAAAAAATTATTGGCACGTATCCTATAACTTCATCGTACAGTCCAAATATCATGTCCTTTTTTAATTTCAGAGCAGGATTTATATCTTTAGGTTGTGTTTTTTGCGGATAGCAGAAAATTTATAACCCTCGAAATTTATAACATTGAAAATTTATAACCCTTACATCAATCAATTATTAAAGGAGTTTAGAACAAAAGAGAAAGAACTACTGTTCAGTAGCACTCTACAGTAATATCAAAATCCTTAACATTGAAATCTAATTTTATTGTCTCCAGTAGAATTTTCCAGCATCAACCTTAACATTTCAAATATCATATTTACCCTTCCAATGGGTTCTCAGGAAAAATAAAATACATTAAAAAGCACGAAGAAATTAAGAAACAGCTACATGTGAGAATCTAAATGTCCCTGGCAGCTGCATTAGGATTCCGAAGAGCTGCAATCAAAGAAAACTTGCCGAGTGAGACAGGTTGAAATCTCACTTTGAATGGTTCCATACTCTATACGATGAGAATGCATTGGAGTCATGCATCTTCCTCATCAATCAAGATCTTCTTGCACGCCTCGTAGCACATGAATGAGATGCCTGCAGCAGGCACCAACTTCATGCAACTTGGCCCCAACCCTTTGTAAAGACCCCCAACCCCTCCCTTTTCCAGTATGCTCAGGAGAGCATGTAGAATGTTCTTGTACACCTACCTACCACCGACAGCTCCGACTTGCATATGCTTCCGAGCAACCTCAAGTGGGAAAGTGGCACTGCTCGATATGGCTCCAGCTGCTGAACCAATCAGAAGTGTGGCAACGTTGCCTATATCATCCGTGTTGAAGGTCTTCTTGTAAAGTTTCTTGAGGGTATCATATGCAAAGTAGTTGGTGGCAGCATACGGCACGACCCCTATAAGACTCGGAGTGAGACCTCTGTACAGCTCCGACGGACCTTCCTCTTGTATGATTTTCAATAAAGCATGTAAAAGATTGTCATAGACGTCTCTCTGTACCAGGAGCAGGAATCAGATACAAACATATGTGCAAGATTAATATTCCAGGGGTTTTCACTAACCTGTATGGTTAGTCGAGTTGTGAGTAGCTCTAATGGATACGTACAGAGGGTTGAGCTGACTCCAGCAACGGCCCCAGCAACAAGTGAGGGGGGAAGTGGAAGTTTGGGTTGTTCTCCATCCTTAGGAGTCAAAGCCTTCTTAGCTGTATCATAAGGAAACAACTGCAAGAAGAACCATCAACATTCAAAAGAACCGCAGAAATAGAAATGTGGATTATATAATAGCAGACCACTATGTTAAACCACCAGCATTCCTAAGGAGCTAAGGAACAAACAAGATGATTGATTACTAGAGAGTGAACATGTATGCAACATCATATTGTCATTTCATATGGATCATGTGCATTTTCTGCACGGTCTGCTAAAAACAATGTGGTGAAAACTGGCAGGCAAAACCAACACAAACACAACCTTATGGTCTTTAATTACATAATATTTCTTTTATCTACAAAGTAATATACATGTGATCAAAGAGTTAAATGTTGAGACATATTAAATGCAGGTACGCATTACATGATGAATGAGTGATTAGATACTGTGGCAAAACATTCTGTTTATTCATCAAAGGGATTTCATGATAGTAGAGAAAATGTATCTAATTTGCCCAGTGAGTCAAACAATACCAGAGGCAACATCACAAGCCTATAAAATATACATAAAGCAATAGTTTTGATGTCATGAAAAGTTCAAAAGAGGAATATTCACTGTCGTTCAGACATTCAAACCACATTTTCTTTAACTGAACCATATGTTTTGGTTTAAAAAGTTCTAAGCCCGAAATGGAACCAACCAAACCCAAAAAGCAAGGTAACGATTAACCCATTCCACCAGTTTGGTGTTCAGTTTTATAGGTTCATGTTCACTGCAGAGAGGCACACCATAAACACCAGACCACAAAGTTGATCCACAAGGGAGATTTTGAAATGAAACCAAAAAAAAATTTCTCAAATAAAGGTCGAATAACTCAAGAACCAAGCAAGGGAAACAGACATCCAAATTTGCAAATGGCCATGACACCTAAAATGAACTGAAAAATGCGTTATCATCTGCACAAAACTCAGCTCAAACCTCCCCTCCTTCCATGAAGTCCCATCAAAATGGAAAGCTCGAAGTGATCCGCCATGACTGCTTTCTGCCTCGTGGACTGCAAAACGGTGCAGGTGGATTGCAAAAGGGGCGATCCATCAGTTGCGAGATCAAAGAAGCATCCAGGATTATGTTGCTTGCAATGTGGGAATCGGTGGTAATGAGTGGTTTGATCCATGTTTCCTATATAGTATGGTTCTATGATGGGACTAAAATAATTGGAGAATCATAACTTTAACTGAGCCAACTAGTTTAGTTGAAATGTTTGTTCAGTTTTTTTTTTTTTCTACTTTAGCCCAGGCTTCTGGGTATCATGTTTCGCTTGAACAGTCCATGACCTAAATTTAGCAAAGATTCCTGGAAAGTCATGAGATATACAATTAAAGAAGTTGATAGCATATATCTTGATCAACCATAACAAAAGGCTAAAAGTTATTATGAAAGAAAGTGGTAAGGAAACAATGGTGTGACATCACAGACATGGAAATCACCATTAAACTAGAAATGCATATGATATAAAATCAACACGATCAATTACCTCAATCGCCTTGCTTGGTGCAACACGGATCACCTCCGGCGACACATACTTCATGTAGAGATTGGTCCCTGACACGTTAACGCTGTTATTTGTAGGATTAGAAGTATTAGGAGAAACCCCAAAACCGACTCCCATCTGCCCAACACTCGCAAACAAGCCACCAGTGGGGTAGAATCCCTCATGGAGGTTCCATGAAAAGCTTAGTTCTGGAAAGGGTAGGAGGAACAACCCATCAGTCTTCTTCTCAAACGGTTGCAGCCTCTTATCCGCCGTTCCTATCACAAGCAAAACCTGGATTTGGTAAGATTAGGGCACCACAGCATCCAAATGCACCACTCTTGGGTTCGTAAGGCACTTGAGATAACCAAATCGGAAGATAAATTCAAGGGGACAAATGCAGCAAAGTAGATGCTTCAACAAAATCGAAGATAGAAAATACAGGAAATAAATATCTTTGAATCCAACAGATATTACAACCAAGAAAGAACGAGGCAGAGGTGCGAGAGTAAATAAAACAAATTAGGTTTTCTACAGACACAAGAGAAACACGGCGCTACGCAGGGCCGCCTGAATCGACACGAACAAGAAGAAGAACAGAATGCATAGATTAAAAGAGAAGGAAACGTGGTAAACCCCGAAACCAAATCGAATCCAGAAAAAGACTCGATTTAAAAAAAAACCAAATGGATCATCAGATGAGCAAGTGAAAGCCGGACTGTGATAGACGAATCCAAAAATCCAAGGGAACGACGTCACCTCAACGCTACACGCGAAACAATCGGGCAGGGGGAATCAAACCAGGATAATCCAAAGAGTCGCGCCATCGAGAGATCGAAGCCAGGATAATCCCCCTATATGGTCGATCTCGCCATTCGCGCTATAGCAGCGAGGAGGGGGACGGGTGAGAGGGATTAGCCGCCGCTACCCCTTCCTGTGCCTCTCTCCCGTCGTCCGTCCCTCTGTTGGGAGTAAAGGAAAACTTCCATCGCGCTATAGCAGCGAGGAGGGGGACGGGTGAAAGGGATTAGCCGACGCTACCCCTTCCTGTGCCTCTCCCCCGTCGTCCGTCCCGCTGTTGGGAGTAAAGGAAAACTTCCCTCGCGCTATAGCAGC